GAGTGTAGAGAGAAGCCAAGCACACAGTTCCTCTAGCGTTTAGAGGTCAGAGGAGGAGAAGCCAGCAAGTAATGGAGCAGGTGTGGCAAGAGATGTGGGAGGAAAATGGGATGGGTACCCAGAGATGAAGTCACACCTGCCCCTCTCTACCTCTACCCCTTCCCCTATCCCAGGCAGCACCAAGGCTCTGGAGGCCCCAGCGAGCCCATCCTTTCCTTTTCACATTTCATCCTTTCCTTTCCACATTTCATCCTTTCCTTTCCACATTTCATCCCTCAGAGGCCTATGCAGTGGCTGTGTCCTCCAGGGACTGCTGTGAACATACTAGAATGTTTGGCCATTCCACCCACATCATTTCCAGCCTTTCTTCACTCAGCTCACCCTCCCACAGCCCACTCTAGTTGTCTGTCTTTCTCTTAACAACAGCACTCAACATTATACAGGACTATCTTCTCCCTTCATTAGGACTCTCTATCTCTGTTAATGCAGCCGTAGACAAAACCAGCCTTTCTAGTAGCACCAACTACAAAAGATATGAGTAGGAAATCGTAAGACATCTGGGCTGATTAAAGGGAGGGGCTGTGAAGAAGACAAATGGGATTGGTAATGTCTGAAAAGGGGGTTGCATTCAATCAGTTTGGGGGTCTTGGCAGTCATACCAAGGAGTTTAGACTGAGGAGGGAAGAAAATCCACCAAAGGTTATAAATTAGGGAGAGAACAATCAGACGGGTTTTGGTTCATGCTGGGTTCTGTCCCTAGCCTTGTCCCTGATTGGCTCTCACATGCTCACAGGCCAACCCTGGCTCCAGGATGAACTGGGATAGGGCAAGGAGGCCCCACTGTGCAGATGAGAGTGGCAGCTGCTGACACAGAGGCACCATGGAGCAGCAAGGGCTCCCAGGGAGGCAGCAGCTTCACTGGTTTCTCCACATTTCCATGAGGGCAATGAGGCTTATATTAATGAGAGGTAATTATGGGCACCCGTTTGGGCCTAACTATAGCTCAGAGACAAAGGGAGCCGAGGCAGCCAACTGCTTTCCCTGCAAGGCCAAGGCCTGCCTATTTTAAGACCTCCCCAAGGTAAGGTTCCCATCACCCTTGGGTGTTGGGTGGCCGAGGGACTGACACCCAGGGTTTCAACAACCCTGACCAAGAAAGCTCAGAGGGAATCAGTGTGACGGGATGTCCAAACGACCTTCACTCAAACCCCCTACTGCTTAGAGATGGGCTGTGAGGCCAGAGAGAGGGACCAGTCTGAGGCCACAGCAAGTAAAGAGCAGAGTCAGGATTTGAATCCAGGTCCAACTGTGTGCACTTTCCACCATGCAGTGCAGTAACCCTCCCCTGGAAGCCTTGACCTGTCCCCAAGAAGCACTGCGAGGTGATGAGGAGAGAGTGACTGATATTTAGTTACCAAGCACCTAGATGCCAGTTGCTCTCTACAGGACACCACAATTAATCCTTATCATAACCTCAAAAAGGAAAAGTCATCACCTCATGTTGCAGAAGAGGAAACTGAGGTTTAGAAGGAGTAATTACATCGACAAATATCCCAGGGCAAAGAGGGAAAGAAGTAGACTCAGTTATGTCCTATTTTAGGGCCAGGAAACACCCTGAGGTTTGCATGGGAAGTCTCTGGGAAACATCTGTGACAGGTGAGGGTTGCAAGATTGGGCAGAGGGAGGAGTTGAAGGGAAATGCAGGTACAACAAGGGCCTCAGCTAATCCCAGGGGGAGCTCTGGAGCTGGGACAGCCCTTAAGGTTGTTCTGAATTGGCCAAGACAGCCAGGCCTTTGGTGCCCACACATCAACCAGATACTGGACTCGGGCTGCCCCTGGGGAAGGAGCAAGACCTTGGTGAGGCATCTTCCTTTGGCTGAGAGCAAGTCCTGCTGGTACCCAGCTATGCAATATCAGCAGCCAGTGCTCTTGGCAACTGGAGATACCAGTGCCTCAGTCTGAAGGGGAGACCTGGGCAATATCCACTGCCTCCCCATCTCCAGATCCTTTCTCATTCCTCTGCCCCTCAGATGAGAAGAACCAGCTCTTTCCCACAAGGAGGTTATGGGAACGTGGACTCGTGTTCTTTGTGGAGCTGACAGGCCGGGGGATGCTGGGTGGCTGCATCAGTGCTAATGAGGCCATCAGTGCTAATGAGGAAGTAAAGAGTGAGTAGCTGTTCCAGAAAAGTTGAAAAACATGACCTATTAAAAGCCTATAGGGACAGAATGGGAGAAAATACTTGCAAATCATGTATCTGATAAGGACTTAATATACAGAATATATAAAGAAATCCTACAGCACCACCAAAAATGACAGAACACCCAATTAAAAATGAATAAAGGGCCCTAGCCAGTTTGGCTCAGTGGACAGAGCATCAGCCTGAGGACAGAAGGGTCCCAGGTTTGAGTCTGGTTGAGGGCATGTGCAGGAGGCAACCAATCGATGTCTTTCTCTCACATCAATATTTCTTTCTGTTTTCCCTCTTTCACTCTCTCTAAAAATCAATGAAAAAATATCCTTGGGTGAGGATTTAAAAAATAATAAATACTAGAATTTTTTTAAATGAATGAAGGACTTAATATACATTTCTCCAAAGGAGGTATACAAATGGCCAATAAGCCCATGAAAAGATGCTTAATATCATTAGTTATCAGGTAAATGCAAATCAAATCCACAGTGAGATACCAGTCCATACTTACTAGAACGGATATATTTAAAAAAGAAAAGCACAAGTGTTGGGCCCAGCCGGTGTGCTCAGTGGTTGGGTGTGACCCATGAACCAAGAGGTCACAGTTTGATTCCCTGTCAGAGCACATGCCCAGGTTATAGGCTTGATCCCCTGTAGGGGACATGCAGGAGGCAGTTGATTAATGATTTTCTCTCATCATTGATGTTTGCATCTCCTTCTCCCTCTCCTTTCTTCTCTTTCTAAAATCAATAAGAACATATTCAAAAACAACAAGTATTGGTGAGTATGTGGAGAAATTGGAACCCCACACATTGCTGGTGGGATATAAAATGGCACAACCACTGTGGAAAACAGTTTGGCAGTTCCTCAAAAAATTAAACACAGAATTACCATATGACCCAGCAATTCTACCCCAAGGTATATACCCAAAAGAATCAAAAGCAGGGACTCACACAGATACTTGTATGCATTGTTCGTTATAGCATTTATTCATAAACCAAAAGGTGGAAACAACCCACATGCCCATCAGTAGATGAATGGACAAACAAAATGTGGCATATACATACTATGGAATATTAATCAACCATAAAAAGAAATGAATTTCTGATATATATATGCTACAATATGGATGAATCTTGAACACAGTATGCTTAGTGAAATAAGCCAGATACAAAAGGACAAGTGTTCCGGCCAGGTACCTCAGTTGATTAGAGCATCATCCTGATACGCCAAGATTGCGGGTTCGATCCCCAATCGGGGCACATACAAGAAGAAACCAGTGAAGACATAAATAAGTAGAACAACAAATTCCTCTTTTCCTCTCTCTCTCTAAATAAATTAATTTTTTAAAAGAAAAAAATTTTAGACAAAAGGACAAGTGTTACATGATTCCACTTATGTGATATCTAGACTGGACAAATTAATTGAGATAGAAAGTAGATTAAAAATCTCCAGGGACTTGGGGAGGGCAGGGAATAAGGAGTTATTGCTTAATGGTTATAGAATTTCTCTTTGGGCTGACGAACAAAGTTTGGACATTGGTAATAGTGGTAGTTGCACAACATTGTGAATGTAATTATTGCCACTGAACTGTACACTTACAAATGGTTAAAGTGGCAAATTTTGTGTTCTGTATTTTATCACAATAAAAATAAGACCCATGGGAAATAGGTAAATCCATAGAAACAGAAAGCAGATTGGTGGTTGCCAGGAGCTGGAAGGAGAAGGAACAGGGAGTAATTGCTTAATTGGTGTAGCGTTTTTCTTTTGGGGTTAAGAACATGTTTTAGAACTAGATACACAGCACTGTGAATGTACTAAATGTCACTGAATTGTACACTTTAATATGTTATGTGAATTTCACCTTAACTCTTTTTTAAGGGAGGGAAAAAAATCTGTGGGGAAATGAACTCTATGAGATGCAGCCAAATGGGTACTCGCCTTTCCAATGACACATTTGTTTGGTATAAGAAAGTCAGAGAATAAGTGAATTAAGTTTCTAACTGAAAAGATAAACAAGGTATTGGAGAAAAGAAAGTTTCCTGGACCCCAGTGTGGGAGTGACAGAAGCAGAGCATACAGAGAGGGGGTGCCATCAGGAAACATAACCAAGGCAGAATCACTGTGACTCAGGGACTGTCATAGTTGGAGTTCCCCAGACGCATGCCCAAGACAAGGATTCAAGTGCAAGTACTTCATTTAGGAGTAGACAGCTCAGTGTGGGAGGGGAACGTAAGGCAGGGAAGGAGAGGCAGCCGATGAAAGGAGCGTTATCAGCCTTGGCCGGGTGGCTCAGGGCACATGCCTGAGTTGCAAACTCGATTCCCAGTTGGTTGAAGCATCATCCCATACACCAAAAGGTTGCAGGTGCGATTCCTGGTCAGGGCACATATCTAGGTTTCAGGTTTGATCCCCAGTCAGGGTGCACACAGTAGGCAACCGATTGATTTTTCTCTCACATTGATGTTTTTCTCCCTCTCTCCCTTCCTCTCTCTCTAAAAATCAGTATTTTTAAAAATCCTCAGGTGAGGATTAAAAAAAGAAGAAGAAGGGAGCATTATCAAGCAAATGACCACGGTGGGCAGCTGGAGCTCAGCCTCACTGGGCAGCTCCAGGAGACAATGTCTGAGGCTGGGGGAGGTGGCCAGGGGCCCAGGTTCACACTCATGTGGTCCTCCTAGAGCAACCTTCCCAACACCCTATCCCCTCCAAATCCAGCTGACCCCTTTTTGTCTTCTCTCCCCAGGATAGCCGCTGCCCGGGAGAGGCGACCCGGGCACCCCGCTAGGGTGCCGGCCCTGCCCCAAGGGCCGAGATCATGAAAGGCCTCGGTGACAGCCGCCCCCGCCACCTCTCCGACAGCCTGGACCCACCACACGAGCCCCTGTTTGCGGGGCCTGACCGCAACCCCTACCTGCTGTCGCCCACGGAGGCCTTTGCCCGGGAGGCTCGCTTCCCTGGGCAGAATGCTTTGCCAGGGGATAGTCTCTTCCCACTCAACAACCAGCTGCCACCACCAAGCAGTACCTTCCCCCGCATCCACTATAATTCCCACTTCGAGGTGCCAGAAGAGAGCCCCTTCCCCAGCCATGCCCAGGCCACCAAGATCAACCGGCTGCCCGCCAACCTCCTGGACCAGTTTGAGAAGCAGCTGCCCATCCACCGAGATGGCTTCAGCACTCTCCAGTTCCCCCGCGGCGAGGCCAAGGCCCGGGGCGAGAGTCCCGGTCGCATCCGCCACCTGGTCCACTCGGTCCAGAGGCTCTTCTTCACCAAGGCACCCTCAATGGAGGGCACAGCAGGCAAGATCGGTGCCAATGGCAGCAAGAAAGGTGGCTTGGAGGATGGCAAGGGCCGGAGGGCCAAGAGCAAGGAGCGGGCCAAGGCCGGGGAGCCCAAACGGCGCAGCCGCTCCAACATCTCGGGCTGGTGGAGCTCCGATGACAACTTGGACGGTGAGGGTGGTGCCTTCCGCAGCAGCGGGCCAGCCTCCGGGCTGATGACACTAGGCCGCCAGGCAGAACGCAGCCAGCCTCGTTACTTTATGCACGCCTACAACACCATCAGCGGGCACATGCTCAAAGCCGCCAAGAACAATACCACTGAGCTGACTGCCCCGCCACCCCCGTCCGCACCCCCGGCCTCCTGCCCCAGCCTTGGGGTGGGCACTGACACCAACTATGTCAAGCGGGGCTCCTGGTCCACTCTGACCCTCAGCCACGCCCACGAGGTGTGCCAGAAGACCTCAGCCACCTTGGACAAGAGCCTGCTCAAGTCCAAATCCTGCCACCAGGGTCTAGCCTACCACTACCTGCAGGTGAGTCCCTTCAAGGGTCAGAGTGGGGGAGGGATGTGAGGAAGGCACAGTTGTGAGGTCCAACTGGGTCACAGATTCACTTGGAAAGTTGTTTTAGTCAGGCCTCTGTACTCCCCTAGGAAATGGGCGACCCGTGATACCTGCTCATAAGGGGATTCCTTCCACTGGTCATGCTCTCAGCAGACATTGATTAGGTCCCTTCTGAGATCAGCCCTGAGTGGGGACTAGAAATGTCCCTGCCCCATAGAAGACAAATCTGGAAGCTGTGCCATCTACCCACCTCATAGGAGCAATTGCATGGTGTTCTAATTACCAGCCTCCTGCTTGCTACTCCCACCAGACTGGGCTCCTGGAGGACAGGGACCAGATCTGGTGCAGCTGTATGTCCCCAAGGCCCAGGACAGGGTTTGGCGTAGAGGAAGTACTCGGGAAATGTGAAGGAGAGAGGGGTAGATGAACAGACGGACACTTAAATGAACAGAACTAGAAATAAATAAGACATAGCCCTGATTGTCAGGATGCTTGGAGAGAGACACATGAACAGTCATGTCAATGTGAGCAGGATGTTCTGGGGAGAAGCATGGAGGGCTACAGGAGTGCAGAGGCCCTAACCCAGTTTGGGGGACTAGCTTTATTCTTTCAAACACGAATGTTTATGGAGGCACTTGTGCACCAACTCCACACTCAAGGAAAAAGGCAGAAAGCTCAGACATCTCCGCTGCCACACATCCCCCAGGTTTCTCAAGGGCAGGGAGATGGCAGAGCCCAGGATGTGGGTGGAAGTTAGAGGAAGCAGATTCTAAGTACATGTCAAGATGGAAGGGGCTGCTTCTGTAGGTAATGAGCTGGCGTACCCTGGGGGAGGGGAGGATATGCCAGTGCAGGCCTGGCCAGGCTTTGGGACTACATTAGATGCATTTTGAACCAATGAACATCAAAGTCTGACAAAGCACTGAGTTCTTGCCATTCTATATAAAATTCCAAAGACAGTGAGACTAAGGGGGAGAAAGGCTATTTTTTTAATAGGGAGAAAATGAAATCTAGATAGTACTTTATATATTTAAGGCTTTTATGGCTCTCAATCCACTTCCTAGTTTAGAAATATAAGTAAGAGTTTTGGGTGACCTGGCTTTCTCTCAAAATGGTATGGTTGGTCTAATCATGTGAAAATGCTTCCAAAATACCATGAAAGAGTGAGCCTGCAGGCCCTGAGGCTGTGCTGCCTGCTTGCATACAGGGAGGGAGATGGGTGGGGGCTATGGTTGCAACACATTTTGAGCAGAAATATACAAGGCCATGTTCCCAGGAACAGATAGAGGTAGGGAGGCTGGACTAGCAAATGGTTTGGGGATAAAATGTACAGGCTCTCGTGACTGTCTGGGTAGTCAGCCGGGGAAAGGGGTTTGAGAAGGCTGAAGGGAGCCCCTAGGGTGGGAATCCCAGACAGGGACCATCCCTCCCTCAGCTGGGACTTGGCCACTGGCAATGTGGTATTCATGGTGTCTGTGCAGCCATGCTGATTGGGGGAGTGTGCATTTGTGTATCTAGTGAAGGACGGATATGTTGTGTACACTGAGAAATATGCGTACCTGGGCATCCATGGTGAAGTGTAGACCTAGTGAGGGTGTGTCCTATGTGTTGAGGAAAAGATATGGTGATCTGGGCACATGTTGAGATGTGTCCATGGTGCAGTGGTGGCAAGCATGTATGTGAGGTGTGTGAGTATGCTCCGGGTTCCCGTTGTATACATGTTGAGGGGTGTACACATGATGTAGGGGCTACCAGGGTGCATCCTTGGTGAGATGGGTGTGTATGGGAAAGTATGCTTGCTCTCAGATGTGTACACAGGACAAGGCCTGTTTACTCTGTGCTGGCACTGAGGTGCATGTAAGCGCTGAGATATGCATCCTCATTCATCACGAGGTGAACATCCACTGCGTGTACATGTGTGTATTAGATGAACGAAGGGTGTAGGCTGTGGGTGCAGCCCTGGAGCAGAGCCTGGCCTTAGAAGGACAGAGGGGTTCCCCTCTGTTGGTTTCTGCCACTGTAACCACTGTGGACTAAGACTGCCTCACAGCTGTGATCTCACTTGCCCTTTTCACAACCCCTTCCACAGGTGGGATGCCCGAGGTTCAGAAGGTAAAACCCCTTTCCCAGTTTACCAAGCGGCTGCTCCATCCTGGAAGCCAGCTCTCCAGTACCGCAGTTTACTGACCTGTGGGATGAGGGATTGTGATTGGCTTGGAGGACGCAACCCCCATACTGATATGCCATCATGGATGGGGCTCTTGGTGTCAGGTCTGGGGACCTCCCTCAGGCCTGCTGTTCTCATCTGTGCAGTGGGATGGATCAAAAGCCACCCTCTGAGATAGCAGGGGAGGTGATGAACACTGGCTACTCAGGAAGGTAGCTGCGGTGGAGGCCTTTGTGAGCATACATCCTTGGGCAGTTTTGCTGGGGCACCGCGCCTAGATCCATGGAGAACTCTGAGGTCGTAGATGGGCAGGGACTTGCTTTATGTACGGCCCATAGAGAAGCTGTGGCAGAGCCGGCTCTGGAACCCAGCTGTCCTTCCCAGCCCGGGCTGCTTCCATGGCAGTGCCCAGCACCAAAGGCTGAGCTCTCCGAGCTGGGGAGCCCGAGGCTGAGCGGCTGGCGCTTCCCTGGAAGTGTCTGTACTGAGGCCGTGCCTCCCATCCCCAGGTGCCCGGCGGCGGTGGCGGCGAGTGGAGCACCGCACTGCTGTCCCCGCACGATGCGGACACCACAGCGGAGGGCCACATCCCCTGCCGACGCATGCGCAGCGGCAGCTACATCAAGGCCATGGGCGACGAGGACAGCGACGACTCTGGCGGCAGCCCCAAACCCTCACCCAAGACTGCGGCGCGGCGCCAGAGCTACCTGAGGGCCACGCAGCAGTCACTGGGAGAGCAGAGCAACCCGCGCAGGTGAACGCGCAGTCCCTCCCCCTAGAGCCCCGCCCCGGGCAAGCCCTGCCCCGAAGCCCCGCCCCTAGGAGTCCTGCTCCATCACGTCCAATCGGGCCCCAGGAGATCTCAGCTCTCACCTGTGGAGGCCCCACCCACAGGTTAACCCGGCTTCATTGGAGCTCCGCCCCTTCAGGTGAGCCCTGCCCGCACAGGAATTCTTCCCCTGGGGAAGCCTCATCACGCTTCCTACCAGCCCCGCTCACAGGTAAGCCTTACCACCTAGGTGAGCCCCTCACAGTTATGCCCCATCCCTGGGAACCTCTCCTTCCTCCCTTTCGGCTGCCCCCAGAGCGCCCAACCCCACAGATGAATCTTGCCTCAGATCCAGATGAACCCGAGCCCACAACCATCCAAACGGTTCACCTACGCTAGGTGACCCCGCCTTCACATTAGCCTCCTTCCTGAGATGCCCGTCCTTAGGTTGGCCCTTGCACTTGGATGAGTTGACTTTGGAAAGCCCCTTCATTTGGTGAACCATCTCATAAACACCCCCCCCCCCCCCCCCGCTTCCCACCCAGTTAAGTTCTGGCCACAGGTGAGCCTCATCCTTTGGTAAACCAGGAAAGCCTCTCTAGAGTGACTGGCCCAGGTAAACTCTGTCCTTAGGAGTGCCGTCCCCAGGTGAACTCCACTCCCACAGAGGACCTGCCCCAGGGAACACTGTACTTCAGGCGAGGAGAACCAAGGTCACCACTTACGTTAGCACTGCCCAGGAAAGGTCAGAGGCCCCTCTGCCCATCCCTTTGTAATGGACCCCTGGGGTGAGCGCCAAGATTGGGAAGGAGGGAGGATCCAGAAGTCAAAGAGAGATAGACAGCCTTCACCTGTCCCATCACCCGCCTGCAATTCCACTATTCAAGCCTTATCCTGTTGCTTTAAGACTTGGAAGAGTTCGTGAAAGTGTGAACAAATGAAACATATGCACACAGAAAGCAGCAATTAAAATGTTAGAGAAAGAGGTGAGGCATTCACATGCAGAAGTCGCCATGGGGATTAGAACAGAAAAGAATGAGAGGCAAGTTATGGAAAGTCTATCGAATGAGTACAAAATGGGTGAAACTTGGTATAGGGGATTCAAAGTCCATTGAGGAAGAAAAACAGAAGCAAGTCAGAAACAAACAAAAGAAAGACTAGGAAGAGTTAAAGAAAACAAGCTTAGCCCTAGTTCCCCAGCTACTGGGGGCGTAGACCCAGGCTTCATGGAGGAGGTAGTTTGGGAGGACTGAGACAGAGGAGAGACAGGCCAGGTGACAGCAGGACTTAGGCAGTGAGGGGAGAAGCCAGGAGTCTCGCTGGCTGGGACAGAGGCAGGGAATGGTCTGCTGGTGGAAATTCAGGACACTACTGGCCAGTCCCAGGTCAGTCCCTCTCTGAGCCTCATTTTCCCCATCTTTAAGTGAGAGGGCTGAGCTAGCTGATCTCTAAGACCTCTTTTAGGCCTGAGACCCCACAATTCTATGAATGACCAATGGACACTGATGTTGGAGAGGTGGTTAGGGCCAGGGCAGAAACCCTGAATAAGAGGAAATCAATCAATAATGCTAGCACTTGCTGTACTCTGGAGTCTACTGCCCTAGTGCACTTTAATCCGCACCACTGAATCCTCCCCGTCACAGCCCCGCAGGCACGCACAGTGTCATTCCCACTTAATAGGTGAGGAAACTGACGCTTAAACCAGGGTGATGACTTGTCCAGGGTCACCCAGTGAGGAAGCTGGACTCCAATTCAAGCCCGTCTATAACAAGAGCCTGAGCTGTTGGCTGCTTGGACCTCGTCCCCAGAGCAGTGAGGGGGTTGGAGGGGGCAGAAGCAGGGTCAGGTAGATGTGAGAAAGATTGAAGAACAGGGGCCATGGAGAGAATTGGTGAGTCTTCAGGGACCTGGTGGAAGCCACCTGAACATCCTGATGAAACTGATGCCCTTTGGGCAGCCCTAGTCTGAGGTCAATGCTGTGGGGTCTTGCCCCCACCTCCTCTGTCCAGCCCCTGGAATTGCCCCAGACCTGCAAGGGAGGGGACTGTAGCATTGAGCTGGTGTGGGCCACCTCAGGTTTGGAACAGTCAAACGCAAGCTTATGCTGCCACCTCATGGCTGCAGCAGGCATGACAAGTGTGTACCTCCTGCACCTTCCAGCCTCACAAGGCCTCCAAAGGCGAGGAGTGCTCCCCTTGCTCACTGCCCAACCATCACCACCACCACCACCACCACCACCATTACTCGGGCTGGCAGTGACCTCCATTTTTCTCTCTGCCATTTGATGACCTTGGCTAGTCTTTCCCCCTCTGAGCTTCAGTTTCCCAGGCTGAACAGTGGGTGAGCTGAGCCCTGTCTGCTCCCCACCCCCACCAGGAGTCTGGACCGCCTGGATTCCGTGGACATGCTGCTGCCCTCCAAGTGTCCGAGCTGGGAGGAAGACTACAACCCCATCAGCGACAGCCTCAACGACTCCAGCTGCATCAGCCAGGTGAGGGTGGTGGGCAGCCAGGACAGTGTGCTTGGCAGACAGAGCCCACCTCTCACCCAGGGGGACACACATCAATGCCCAACCCCGGTTGAGTGATCTGCATTGTGCTTCTGTTTAGTCTGTTCTCTGAGCTACCTATGTGTGTCTCTCTGTCCCACTGACTGTCCTGTGGCTGGTGAGCAGTCACAGGGCCTGACATTGCATGGCCTAAGCTGGGTCCTGAGGGAGGGCCCACACCATGGCTGTAGACGCAGGAGCCCTGTGGTTAGGGAACTGGAGACCTGGGTTTGGGTCCCATCTTGTCACTGACTAGAGGAACCCAGAACAAGTCGCTTCTTCCCAGAGCATGTTCCCTGATTTACCACAAGAGGGTGGTAATTTCTATTTCAACAGGTCGTGAGGAATCAATGAGATAATGAACATAAAGTGCCCAGCAAAGGGTCGCTACCTTTATGGTGCTTATCGCTATCTTGCTGTGTGACTTCACACAAATTGCTTCTCCACTCTGGACTACTAACAGCAATAAGCATACGGTGCTGCACTTTTAATTCTCAGCTCCTCGAACCCTCACAGCCACCCCCAGAGGGGGCATTATTATTCTTATCCTCATTTCAAAGATGAGGATACTGCGACTCAGAGAGTGAGGTCACACAGCTAGGAGGAGACAAAGCTGGGTAGGAATCCTGAGCCGTCATACCCACCTCTGGATCCCAGCCCTTACCAGGTGTTCAGTACTTTAGAGTTTGCAAAGGTGGGACTAGCCAAGGCTTGAGGGCTTCCCCCATGGAGTGGACTTGGAGACAAGGCCCAGAGAGAGCATACCCCGGCCAGTAGTGGTACAGCAAGGCAGCGAGGGCAGCCAGGTGCGGACCCAGCCTTCTCTCTGTGTGCAGTCCCATGGCCCAGGCTAATGGACTGCTTAGAATCAGAAGGCTTTGGTACCACCAGCTCCCCAACACTCCATTATTCCTAGTCTGGCCAAACCTTTCCCAGACTCCGAGGAGACTAACATCAGGTGTGGGGAGGGGTACAGCATCCCAGACATGGGACCCTCTGCCACCCTCATCCTGGCCCCACCAAGTCTTACCTTAATAGTTGTCCTGGCCTCCATGCCTGCCACCTTCACTGTGGTCTCAGTGGCCAGGGAGAGCTTTTAAAAGACTTAAGTCAGGCCCTGGCCAGGTAACTCATTAGTTAAAATGCCATCCCTATATGCCATGGTTTGGGGTTCAATCCCCAGTAAGAGCACATTCAAGAGTTAACCTATGACTGTATCAATAAGTGAAACAAATAGATATTTCTCTTTCTCTCTCTCTCTCTCTCTCTCTCTCAAATCAATAATTTTTTAAAATTACATATACAGTGGCCTGGCCACCATGGCTCAGTGGTTAAGCATTGACCTATGAACCAGGAGATCCAGGTTTGGTTCCTAGTCAGGGCACATGCCCAGGTTGTGGGCTCAATCCCCAGTATGGGGCATGCAGGAGGCAGCCAATCAATGATTCTCTTTTATCATTGATGTTTTTATCTCTCTCTCCCTCTCCCTTCCTCTCTGAAATCAATAAAAATAAAACAAAAGAAATATACAGTGAAAGACTAAAGTCAGATCACACCCTACCCCTGCTTAAACCCTCCCATGGCTCCCACCACACCCAGGTGAGAGCCAGAGTCTTTACTGGGTCCCACGAGGCCCTGCCTCCCTCTGGGACATGATCTCAGTTTACTCTGTGACTCACCCTGCTCCGTCCACACTGGCCTCCTCTCTGCTCCTTACACATCTTATCCCTGCCCAGGTCACTGCATTTGCTATTCCCTCTACCAGGAGCACTCTCCTCTCAAATCTTTGCATGGCTGACTCTTCCTTGCATTTCAGGTCTTGGCTCAAATGTCACCTCCTCAGAGGGGCCTGCCCTCTTGTGTAAAGTAGCTGCCCTCTCGTGTAAAGTGCTTCATTTTCTTAGCAGCACTTACCACGATCTAGAATTACATTTGTTTACTTCTTTACTTAATATCTGTCTCACTCTTAAGACTGAGAGCTTCCTAAAAGTGAGGGCCCTGCTTGTTCCCCACAGTGTCCCCAGTACGGGGCACAGGGCATGCAGGTGTGTGCTGGATGGACAGCTTCCCTCCCTGTCTCTCCCATCCTATCATGTTCTCTTCTCTCGGCTCTCAGTCTTCCTGTCTGTACCTGTCGCCCTCTGTTTTTCTCTCACCTCATTCACATTTTTCTCTGACTCTAGTGTGTTTCATTTCCACGTTTCTCTCTGGGTCTGTCTGTCTCTCTCACACACTCATCTTCATCCCCTGCCTGGCCCTGGCACTTGGAACATTTTTGTCCTTTAGCTATACAAAAAGGCACAAGATATCAGCCAGGCTGGGAACCCCAGCAGGTCTCTCCTATTACCCCCTGACTAGCCCCAGCTCTGTCCTAGCATAGGGTCCTCTGAACCCCCAAATATTCATCCCCAGAAGCTTGAGCGACCTGAGCCAAAGTCAGAGATTTGTCAGCTCTAAGCTGTGTCTCTGCAGCCTTGATTCCTGCCCGAGAGAGCTTGTCCCACCAGGCATTGGACTGTGCAGGCCCTCACCAGGGAAGAGAAGGCTCTGGGCTCTGTCCCTAAACTACAGATCCTGGGGGATGCCTGCCAGGTAAGAGGCAGCAGACAGGGCATCCATGGTGCCAGGGGCCAGACCAAGAGAAAGATGTGTAAACAGCACATTACAAATCCCCTGAAGGAGTGAGCCTCCCATCCCTGGAGGAAGCCAAGTGAGACCTCCTAGCACCTGGGCTACAGCCAGTCTGAGGAGGAGGTTAGACCAGCCAGCCACAAGTTCTATTACAGCCGAGCCTGAACAACCAAGCCCAGCCCCAGCCTTGGTCTCCCCATAACCCTCCCCTTCTCTTTCTGCAGATTTTCGGACAGGCCTCCCTGATCCCCCAGTTGTTTGGCCATGAGCAGCAGGTCAGTATGTTTACCATTTTTCATACCCCAATCCCAGAATCCAGAGCTGGGTCTTAGGCCTGGCATCGGGTGGTCCTAGCTCCCAGCCTGAGCAGGTAAAAGCAGAGCCAGCACCAGGAAAGCCACCTCCAATGAAGATGGAGTCTAGGCTCATGTTGGCGCCTTTACCTTCCACTCCTTGGCCCTATTGCTTCACTTCTCTATACCTGTTCCCTCCTCCCCAGAATAGGAAAGAATGGGTGAGGTTCTATGAATAGGGTAAGATATAACTCCAGGACAGTGATGGCGAACCTTTTGAGCTTGGCGTGTCAGCGTTTTTGAAAAACCCTAACTTAACTCTGGTGCCGTGTCACATATAGAAATTTTTTTATATTTGCAACCATAGTAAAACAAAGATTTATATTTTTGATATTTATTTTATATATTTAAATGCCATTTAACAGAAAAATCAACCAAAAAAATGAGTTCGCGTGTCACCTCTGACACGCGTGTCATAGGTTCGCCATCACTGCTCCAGGACAAGGGGAAGCATTCCCTGAGTCTTCTGGCTCCCTCCCTCCTCACCTCCCCCAAACTGGGGAAAATCCTGGGCAGACTGTTTTATTTGGACAGCCTGAGGGCTGGTGGTATTGACCTCAGTCCCAAGATGCCCTAACTTTTCTCCTTTTGGGGCCTTTAACGATGTTGGGACTTTCTGAATGCAGAGACTTTTCAATTTTACAAAAGTTGATGGAGGCGGGGCCAGTCCTGGTATTGTCTTTGGTAAGGGTGCTTCCCTCCCAAGCACACTCATCCTGCCCCTGGAAGTGGCCCTCTCCTACCCCCACCTATTGACCCTCTCCTCCTCCAAGCCCCAAGACCAGAAACTAGAGCAGGAAAGGTGCTCTGAGCTCAACCCCTCATTGTGTCCAGGAGTAGGCAAGGGACTTGTCTAAGGCCACATTCTACAGAGGCAGAACTAACTAGGACTGGGCCCCATATTGCCTAATGCCAGACATGGATGCCTTATGTGCCTCCCGCCCCGATGTCACATTATCCTCAAAGGTCTTTGGGAGTCCACAGTAGGCCAGGCAACCCACAGGGCAGTTCCCTGCACACAATGTGTCCTCAGTGATACACATGCCCCCAGCACTGACCAGGTGACCCCTGCACCCCGCCAGAGCTTGCAAGCATCTTAACCAACACTTACAAACCCTTGCACTCACCCCACAGAGCTTCCCATGATACTAAGTACAGGTTAACAGGTGCTTACTCTCCCAGACACTATTCTAAATCCATGATATTAATTATATCACTTAATCTTGATAACAATCCTATGAAATTTGGTGTATAACTAGTCCCCATGTTATACCCTTGATCTTAGCCAAAAGGCTGAAAGCAGTATTAGCCTCCATTTGATAGACGGGGAAACTGAAGCACTGAACAGTTAAATGACTTGCCCACCTTCGTATTGTGAGGAAATTATGAACCAGGGATTGAAACTCTGGCAGTCTAGTTCCAGAGCTGAGCCATTACTGTGAAATTCCAAAGCAAGACCTCATTGCCCTTGGCAGTCACAAGGGCCTCTCAGTATATCTCAGGTGGCGGCGTTGGAAGATAAACACCTATCTCTTTACTAGCTCCTGCATTTTGAATATGCCACACTGCCTTTTAATTTATCAGCACGACCCAGAAGAACTTTCTGCAGTGATAGGATTGTTCTGTAACCTATGCTCTCCAATAAGGTAGCATGAGCAAGTGAAATGTGAATAAGGAAATGAATTTTTTATTTAATTTTAATTAATTTAAACCTAAATAGCCACTCATGGTTACTACTGTAACAGCTTTAGACCTTTCCAAACATATGCTTGCAATTGGGCGATGTCATTTTACTTGACGCAGTCAGACAAGTACACAGGCATTTCATTTCATTTAGATGGAGAAACACTGACCCAGAGGATAGGGATGGCCTGAGATCACACAGCCTGGTGCAGAGCAGAGCTGGCCCAGGCCCATCTCCATCCTTCCCTTCACATGGTGCTCAGTCATGGGCTTCCCTCCCTCGTAGCCCCAGGCCTCCCCCAGGACCTCTATCCAGTGTCTCTTTTTGGCCAGCTGACTCCTCAGCTTATAGTCTGTGATCCCCAGTTACCAACATGACCCAAAACATGAGTCAGGCAGATGCTTCTAGAACCCTTGGAGAGTGTATGTATGGTGAGGACCCTCTGTGCTCACACCTCCCAGCTGCAGATTTGTAGGATCTTCATCAGTCATCTTTGGAAGAACACTTAGAAGCCATCTAGGTGAGATTGAATTAGATATGAGAAGGCAAATAGCAGCCATTCTGGAATTCTCCACACTGCCCATGGCAGGCATCACTAATCTGTCCTCACTGCCACTACCCTGGTCTGGTCTTAAGTTCTCTCAAGAGACTCTCCCAGCAGTTTCATCTCTGGCCTCTCCCTCCATTCCAGACCCCTCCCCAATATCCACTCTGTAGGCCAGGTCTGGATTAATCTTCCTTAAATATGCATTTGGAGTGTTTGATTCTGCACTTACTCACTGGGTTCCCCTGGTAAGTGTCTTCCCCTCACTGCATATGGTATGAGTTATCTCATTAATCTTGATAACAATCCTATAAAATTTGGTCTGTAATTAGCGCCTATTTTATAGATGGTAAATATCTATAAATTTTAAGATAGTAAATATCTAGCACACCTATTGGCACCCCTCACTCCAGCATTCCGAGCAGACATTAATAACTGATTATAGCCCTAGCTGGTTTGGCTCAGTGGATAGAGCGTCAGACAGCCGACTAAGGGGTCCTGGGCTCAATTCCGGTCAAGGGCACATGCCCGGGTTGCGGGCTCGATCCCCAGTTGGGGCGTGCAGGAGGCAGTGGGTCAATGATTCTCTGTCATCATTGATGTTTCTATCTCTCCCTTTCCCTTCCTCCCTGGAATCAATAAAAATATTTTTTAAAAAACACAGTTTAGCCCTGGCCAGTTTGGCTCACTGGATGGAGCGTCGGCCTGCGGACTGAAAGGTCCCAGGTTCGATTCCAGTCAAGGGCAGTACCTTGGTTGCGGCACGTCCCCAGTGGAGGGTGTGCAGGAGGTAGCTGATCGATGCTTCTCTCTCATCGATGTTTCTGGCTCACTATCCCTCTCCCTTTCTCTCTGTAAAAAAATCAATAAAATATATTTTAAAAAAACAAACAAAAACAACATTTATTATAGCATACATTCCCCCACTAAATTTATATGTGGCCGCAAAATCTATCAGTCCATCAGTGTGGACACACAGGTATAATCTAGTTAATATCCTGGAAACTATCCTTAACAGTTTCTCCTCCATTGTAGAGATGGGGAAAATGAGGCCAGAAGCGAGAAGGGCTGTGTATTTCCAAGGGCTCATCTGCTCATCCCATTCTGAGATGGGAGGGGGAGGGGAGGTGGGCTGGGTTGCGGCCCCACAGACTCCACAGCCCAGCACCTGAGTAGCCCGGCCCTGGGTGAGCAGAGCTGGCCCCTGACGCCTGCCTTTGCCTGGACAGGTACGGGAGGCGGATCTGAGCGACCAGTATGAGGCGGCCTGCGAGTCGGCCTGCAGCGAAGCAGAGTCGACAGCGGCGGAGGCGCTTGACTTGCCGCTGCCGAGCTACTTCCGCTCCCGTAGCCACAGCTACCTGCGCGCCATCCAGGCGGGCTGCTCGCAGGAGGAGGACAGTGTCTCCCTGCAGTCCCTCTCCCCACCACCCAGCACCAGTAGCCTCAGCAACAGTCGCACGCTTCCGAGTGAGTACCGAGTTGAGGGGAAGGGTTTTGTTTTGCTTTGCTTAGGGGAGGGGCAGCCAGTGGGAAATGGTGGGGAGGAATTCGCGGTGGGCTGGCCAGGATTGGAGGGATGATTAGGAGCAAAAGCAGGAGGCCTGGGGGCTGAACTACTCACCAACTGGCGAATTGGTGCTCAAATGGGGGGTCACAGCGGCATTTCCCAGCACTGGTGGCCCGGGAGAGGGGGCTGGAGAAGGCCCCAGCTAATGGGAAGTACTTGATTGCCAGTGGCTGTCAAGACCCTGACTCAGAGCAGCCACCTACTGGTGGGCTGGGCTCACTGAAGCTCTAGGCGCCTGTTTGGATTAGTTCCGTTATGCAAACCTGTGGGGAGGACAGGACCCTCCAGAGAAAGCAGAGCCTTCTGGGAGAGGATGGGATCTGCATTGAGCCTCTCAAAAGGCGTGAGTTTGCAGGTTTCTCTCATACTCTTCCTGGTACTTGTTCTAAATCCTCTGGCGATAACGCATGCAGGATCAGGGTAAGAAGAGAACCTGTGTCACAGAGCAAGCCGTGAAAATCAACAAAATCAAGGCCAAGGAAAATCATAGCACAGTATCTGGTTCAGTAGAGTGAGCTTTGAGCTTACTCTGGCTAGCTGGTTCTCTCCCTGAGCCTGTTTCCCCATCTATAAATAGTAAATTGGGGCATAAGCCAGAGCCTAGGGGGCCCTTGGGGAGATGAAATTACGACTGAGTGTAGAAAGTGTTTATCAGGGCCTTGCATGCACTGGGAGCTGACAAGTGGTAGCTGTTATCAGGCTGGACTCTGAGCTTCCTAACAATTGAAGGCAACTGGTGTTGGATTGTTGTCAAAAGAGAGATAGCTGTTTCAAGTACTTAATTGGTGTTTGATGTTCATAAATGAACCTGGATCCTGTGGATAGTCTACACACAGGAAGCCACCTTGTTGACTGAACGAACTGGTCTTTTCAGGGGGGCAGAGCAAGAATCCACTTTGTTTACCTATTGCCTGGGTGATGCATGGGCAGATCCTTGAGCTCTCTCCAGCCACTTTTAAACCTTAAGGAACAGTCTCCTTTGCAGGTATTAAGAGCTCAGTCTGGTCTCATTCAAACTTGTCTACCTCAGCATCTCGTGCACCTGCAGCTGGGCGTGGTAGTCAATGTCTTCTCTGTTCCTTGTTCTCCAGTGGCCGTTTCTGGTCCCTCCAGGTGGGAGGGCGAGGTAGCTAGTGCAGATGCTGTATGCTGGCTCTTTCTCCTATGTGGTGCTTTTGGAGTTTCTCCTATCCTGCAGAGCCACATGGTGCCTTCTTTTCTGACATGGGCGATGTCCCTCCAGCCCACTGTTTCTCCATCCAGTGGTCCCCCTCCTCCCCACTCAGCCTCTTTTTGCTAGGGGATCTGGCCCTGCCAGGCAGCCACTTGGGCAGAATTCTCTGAAGACAGCTCCCGCCCTGCTTTCTTCCTTGGCTCCCACATAACCCATGTGAAATGAGGCCTTTGCCTTGCAGCACTCTGAGAGTATGGATTGGTCTGCTCTGAAAGTACAGCCTTCCTTCTAGAACTGCTGTCACACATAGGTAGCCCTGCCAGCCATTCTATTTTGGAGGTCTACAAGCAAGTGACCTCTAAAGGCCAAGGTCCTATGGCCTTCAAATCCAGGGGATCCCTGCAAGGCTCTTCCAGTCCTCTACAGTCCCCATAGGAGCCTCAGGTACACAATCAGATTTCCTACGTCATCGGGCCCATGAGAAATTCTCTAAGTACAAAGTGGGCCTGGGGGGACATATAGCACCCTAGCAATTTTCTTCAAATAAACCCTCATTCACTAATATCGCCCCACTCCATTCATGAACGAGCTGAGGATGGATGATAGGCTACATGTCTCAGAACTATTTGGGTTTCTGAATTGCAGGGGGGCAGATCTAGGGGGGCTATTGCTAGAGTAGTACTGTATAACAACCAACCACAAAATCGGTATGATACAACAGTTAACATTTATTTCTTGCTCCCAAGTTTGTGAATTAACTGGGACAGCTCTGCTTCTGTGGCTGAAGGGTCCTCCTGTGATCAGGGGCCTCCCCAGGGCATATTCTCGTGGTGATGGCAGGAGCACTAGAGAGCAAGCCTAGCTATACATGCACATTTCAAGGCCCCTGCTTGTATAATATTTGCCAAAATGCTATTGGCTAAAGTAAGTCATATGACTGAGTTCAAAGACAAGGGATGGAAAAGTACCTCCCACCTTTGTGTCAGAAACAGTATTTACACGACAAAGGAGTGAAGAATCAGGGTCAATAATTAATCTACTACAGTCCACTCTCTTGGCCATATTGACTTAGAAAATACGTTTATCCTCAAGACTACCACCCACCCACCCCCGAGTTTCATCCAATCGTAACACCAAGATCTCATGGCTTATGTCAGGTCTGGATGTGACTCCTCTTGATTGAGTGACCTAAAATCTAAAGAGACAGTTGTCCACCTCCTACCTGTAACTCTCCACACATCCAGCATACATTGGTGAAATAGAGACAAGATAACTGCAATTCACACTCCTGTTCACAAAAGAAAGAGAAAAGGAATTCAGAAACTTACTGATCCCTGGCAGTTCTGAAGTTCTTCTGGGCAAATGTTGGACGAATACTCTAGGATAGGAAGTTACCTTGATGAGGCCCACGCTGTACCACGGGGGTTGATTCCCTAACCCATTGTTCTCAGCAGCTCTCGGTTCTGCTCTCTGAAAGCCTTTCCTGTTCTGTTTGCCTTTTTGGCCACTTCTGAAGAGAACATTGAAAAATGTGCTCTTTAGGCAGCTGAACAACTTTCTTAGCCTGCTTTCTCCCTAAAGGGAGTTAGGGACCCAGATGTCTTTTTACACCTAGAATGGTCTCGGTCCCTTCTGCCTAAGCTGATCATAGTTTTGGCTGCACACCTATCTCAAACATTTTATGGGTTTCCTATGTATTTGCTTCCACTTAACTCCTTGTGCCAAAAGCACACCCACAATTATTTTTGAGTCATGCCAGTCTTTCTAGATTCAATTATGACTACTTTGGTACATCAGGCCAACTCCTTTTAGCTTTCTGGAAGCCCTTTTGAGCAGCTAAGAGCATCCACTAGAGCATCTTAATATTTTAGAGTATTAATATAAGATGTTACAACCACACCCTTGATTTGATCTGGGCCACCCGCTGTATCTTAACCGGCCATCACCTTCGTTCGATCTTTGTCCTTTGCCCTTGGTTTCATTTGTATCTTAATTTGAGAATGACTTACTAGCAAGAGAGGCTGGAGTTAACAGATTTCTTTTCCAACTCAGCAAGTTCTGGGCCTTCTATATCCCCTCTACACACTCTTTAGTCCTTTTATGGATTTTCTTTCTTATACAACGTTATCAAATGCACCCAAAGGAGCCAGCTTTTGCTTTCAATGTTTTGCCCGGAACCAACCTTGCCCAAATCTATGTACTTTCTTCAAGTTACTGTAGATTGACAGTGTTACCAAGCATTTCATCTCTACATGATATGGGTTACCTTTTTTTCAAGCCTACTGTAACATTTTACGTACTACTCACCACTTGGTCTCAGTGCCAATGCTACATACTTTTGTTGCTAATACACCCTACTCCTGGTACCAATTTCTGTATCTGTCAGCTATTATCACAATAACGCTGTGTAATAAGCATGCTTTTTCAGTGGCACACAGTAATACACATTTTTTCTCATTCGTAAGTGTTCAAGTTGTCTGGTTCTGTTCTGCATGTCCTACATTCTCCTCCTGGAACTAAAGGGTGCCCCTAGAATCACTACCCTAGCCAGGGCATGCTCTTGTCATGGTGGTGGCAGACGTATAAAAGGGAAAACCCCACTTTGCAAGCATATTTCAATTCTCTTTCACACCTACTCATATTTGGTTGGTTAACGTAACTCATATTAGTCCAAGGCCAAGGTCCAGGGAAACATGTCCCACCTTTTGTGGGAGAAGCTGCAGTTACATGGCAAAAGGTATGAATTCAGGAAAGGATTGGGAATTGAGGCCAAAATTTCAATCAGTCATAGCCCGCCTTCTCAGCACAGCCCTCATGGATGATTCAGCATCTGGCTTATGTGTAGGGTTATGGAGCTTTGATTATTCTCATTTGGGATTTTAGCCCAAACCAAAACACTCAAGAAGGTATCATGTAACAACATCTTACACCTACCCAGACATGTGTGCACATGTGCACCTACTTACAGGCATATATATCGTTTTGTACCCTTAGACCTCTATATGATATGAAAATGTAAATAAAAACACATGCACACTGATATTCTCATATGTACACATACCTACATACATCTGCACACACACATACATGTGTGTCTCTAAGGCTCATGACACCTTCTCACCTATAAGGACATCATGCCTCTAGCAGATTTGAGCCACCAAATAATTTCACCGCCTACATTTCCCTGGTCAGCCCTCCCTCCAGGTCTCCACAGTGGCTTCTCTCTCCTCCACCTGCAATCCCCTCATGCTCACAAAACTCATCTCCCTCACAAGGAAAACCAAAGCCACCATATTTTCAGATCTGTGCCCGGAGCTGCAGCTGGTCCATACGGTACCTTTGTGTGCTGGGTTAGTAAAGAGTGCCCCCGCCACCACCAGACACTTAACTGCCATCTCTTGAAAAATTGTCATGATGTACAGTTTTTTTCAGAATAAGACCCGTTAATGCCATCTGCTAGAAACTTGTCATAATAAGTATATAATTTAATTATGTCTTTATTGTGAACAGCACACCCCCTTCTATGTGGCATCCTTAATCAGTGTAAAACTTGCACAGTCCTGCCCATAATCACCTCTCTCCATATAGAAACACACAGGCACATCCTATTCAGCCACTGTCTCCCCTCAGGGGCCACATTGGTCAGAAGGCTGCCCCCTTTCCTTAGCATCTGTCTCCAAGGAGTGAGCAGTCTGGGCCCCACCACCACCACCACCTGCTGAGGGC